GCGAGAGACGAGAGAGAGAGAGCAGAGAGAGAGAGAGAGCGGGAGAGAGCGAGGGAGAGCGAGAGAGAGCGAGAGAGAGCGAGTGAGAGCGAGAGAGAGAGAGAGAGAGCGACAGAGAGCGAGAGAGAGCAAGAGAGAGCGAGAGAGCGAAAGAGAGAGAGAGAAGAGAGAGAGAGATAGAGAGAGAAATAGAGAGAGAGATAGAGAGAGAGAGAGAGAAGATAATAGAAGATAAGAAAAGAGAGAGAGAGCGAGAGAGAGAGAGGGAGAGTGAGAGAGAGAGAGGAGAGAGCAGAGAGATAATAGAGAGAAGAGGGAGAGGAGAGAGAGAGAGAGGCAGAGATAGAGGCAGAGAGAGAGAGGCACAGAGAGAGAGGCAGAGAGAGAGAGAGGCAGAGAGACAGAGGCAGAGAGAGAGGCAGAGAGAGAGAGAGAGGCAGGAAAGAGAGGCAGAGACAGAGAGAGGGCAGAGAGAGAGAGAGAGACAGAGAGAGCAGAGAGAGCAGAGAGAGAGGCAGCTCAGTCACACTTAAATCCGGATTCGTCCTCACCGAGTCCCACCACCAAGGGAGCGCCAGCAAGGAGATGCACATATGGGGATCCCCACGCAGTGAATAATTACTCTGACGCCTCCCACTCCTCCTCCTCCTTCTTCCTCCCGCTCGCGCCTCCCTCCTCCCAATGATAATCACCAGATAAGACAAGACAAGATAAGATACTACAAGATAAGATAATATAGCACAAGATATGATAAGAAGAGATTTCAAGATATGATAAGATAAGTTAAGCTCACACTCACACTCTCTCATGATCACAAAACGCTGCCAGGGGCATCATTTGGGAGCCCCAAGGGGGAGCCACCCTGGCTGATCTCACGAGCCCGTTCGCGCCGATTTTGGTGGGACGCCTCAGCTAGAATTGCCGTTTGGCCTCCCCAACATGTATCTTTTGAGAGCCTCATGGTCACAAAACGCTGCCAGGGGCATCATTTGGGAGCCCCAAGGGGAGCCACCCTGGCTGATCTCACGAGCCCGTTCGCGCCGATTTTGGTGGGACGCCTCAGCTAGAATTGCCGTTTGGCCTCCCCAACATGTATCTCTTGAGAGCCTCATGGTCACAAAACGCTGCCAGGGGCATCATTTGGGAGCCCAAAGGGGGAGCCACCCTGGCTGATCTCACGAGCCCGTTCGCGCCGATTTTGGTGGGACGTCTCAGCTAGAATTGCCGTTTGGCGCCCCCAACATGTATCTCTTGAGAGCCTCATGGTCACAAAACGCTGCCAGGGGCATCACTTGGGAGCCCCAAGGGGGAGCCACCCTGGCTGATTTCACGAGCCCGTTCGCACCGATTTTGGTGGGACGTCTCAGCTAGAATTGCCGTTTGGCGCCCCCCAACATGTATCTCTTGAGAGCCTCATGGTCGCAAAACGCTGCCAGGGGCATCATTTGGGAGCCCCAAGGGGGAGCCACCCTGGCTGATCTCACGAGCCCGTTCGCGCCGATTTTGGTGGGACGCCTCAGCTAGAATTGCCGTTTGGCCTCCCCAACATGTATCTCTTGAGAGCCTCATGGTCACAAAACGCTGCCAGGGGCATCATTTGGAGCCCCCAGGGGGGAGCCCCCAAGGGAGCCACCCAGCGCTCTCGAGGGCCCGTGAACGAAAGAGAGAGAGAGAGAGAAGAGAGAAGAGAAGCGCAAGAGAGAGAGAAGATGAAGCGTAGAGAAGGGAGAGGAGAGAGAGAAGAGAGAGAGAGAGCGGAAGAGAGGAGGGGGAGTTGGAAGAGAGGTGACAGGCGAGAGACAGAGGAAAAGAGAAGAGAGAGAGAGAAGACAAGAGAGAGAGAAGAGAGAGAGAGAGAGAGAGATATAGAGATAGAAGATAGAAGAGAGAGAGAGAGAGAGAGAGAGAGAAAGTGGAGAGAGAGGGGGGGGGAGAGAGAGAGAGAGAGAGAGAGAGAGAGAGAGAGAGAGAGAGAGAGAGAGAAGAGAGAGAGAGAGAGAGAGAGAGAGCGAGAGAGAGAGAGAGAGCAGAGAGAGAGAGAGATAGCGGGAGAGAGCGAGGGAGAGCGAGAGAGAGCGAGAGAGAGCGAGTGAGAGCGAGAGAGAGAGAGAGAGAGCGAGAGAGAGCGACAGAGAGCGAGAGAGAGCAAGAGAGAGCGAGAGAGCGAGAGAGAGAGAGAGAGAGAAGAGAGAGAGAGAGAGAGAGAGAGAGAGAGAGAGAGAAGAGAAGAGAAGAGAAGAGAAGAGAAGAGAGAGAGCGAGAGAGAGAGAGAGGGAGAGTGAGAGAGAGAGGAGAGAGCAGAGAGAGAATAGAGAAGAGAGAGAGAGATAGAGAGAGAGAGAGAGAGAGGCAGAGATAGAGGCAGAGAGAGAGAGGCACAGAGAGAGAGGCAGAGAGAGAGAGAGAGGCAGAGAGACAGAGGCAGAGAGAGAGGCAGAGAGAGAGAGAGAGAGGCAGGGAAAGAGAGGCAGAGACAGAGAGAGGGCAGAGAGAGAGAGAGAGACAGAGAGAGCAGAGAGAGCAGAGAGAGCAGAGAGAGAGGCAGCTCAGTCACACTTAAATCCAGATTCGTCCTCACCGAGTCCCACCACCAAGGGAGCGCCAGCAAGGAGATGCACATATGGGGATCCCCACGCAGTGAATAATTCCTGGGATCAGCTTGACCCAAGCCGGCTGCGGTGCAGGACGAGAGAGCGAGATGCGACGAGAGATTGGGACAAGCTTGACTTCCAACAGGAGGAGGAGGAGGAGGAGCAGGAGGAGGAGGAGGGGGAGGAGGGCCGCCTCCCGATCGCCCCGCCCGACCCCTGCCAAAAGGGCCGCGAAGGGCCCCTGCCCAATGCCGACGAGCACCGCGGGGCCCGCGATCCGCCCACGGCCTCGAGCCAGCTGGGCCGTCTCTGGACCCGGACTCCCATCGCGCCTGCGCTCACAGCCTCAGAGAAGCATGGGGAGAAGCAACAGAAGGAGCAGGAGGAGGAACATGAGGAGGAGAAGGAGGAGGAGGAGGGGGGAGGGAGGAGGAGGAGGAAGAGGAGGAAGGAGGAGGAGGAGGAGGGGGAGGAGGAGAAGGAGAGGAGGAGGAGGAGGATGAGAGGAGAGGAGGGGGAGAGGAGGAGGAGTGAGAGGAAGAGGAGGAGGAGGGGGAGGGGGAGGAGGAGGGGAGGAGGAGAGGAGGAGGAGGAGGAGGAGGGAGGAGGAGAAGGAGGAGAGGAGGAAGAAGAGGCGGGGGGGGAGGAAGAGGCGGGGAGGAGGAGGAGGAGGAGGAGGAGGAGGAGGAGGAGGAGGGAGGAGGAGGAGGGAGGAAGGAGGAGAGGAGGGGAGGGAGGAGGAGGGAGGAAGGGAAGGGGAGGAGGAGGAGGAGAGAGGTAGGAGAAGGAAGAGCGGAGTGAGGAGGAGGAGGAGGGAGAGAGGAGGAGGAGGAGGAGGAGGAGGAGGAGGAGGAGGAAGAAGAATGCCCTCACCCTGGATACGCGGTGCATCCGCAAGCGCACTGACGGTGGCGAGCACTCAATAAAATTAAGGTTTGGGGTTCTTTTCTCCTCAATGAAAATTGGAGCGCCGCGGGTCTGGGAACAAAGTCCGAGCAGGCGTGGTCGGAGGACCGCGCCACCGCGTCGATACATCACCGATGCATCGGCGACGCGTCGGCGACGCATCGGCGACGCATCGGCGGCGGCGGCGTGGACAAAGTCTCGGTCTACATCGAGCCGCATCGCCGATGCATCGATGATGCGGCGCGATTCTCCGACCCCACCTGCTCTGACCCCATCTGGGGGGCCCAGAAAGGTGCTCCCCTCGCGAGCGATTGGGGTGCCTTTGGGGCCCCCTGTCCAGGCCATTCCTGGCAACGCCCGACCTCTGAGCGTCGTGCAGAGAACCGCTCCAGGCGGGCCCTCACCCCGCTCGCTCGTTCTGTGCTGCATCCTCGGGGGGGCCTCGTCTGTCCCGTCGCGGCCCTCTCCGCGCCGAATGCGTGTCGAATCCATGTCGGCCTCGTCGGGTCTGTGCCGAGTCCGTGTCGAGCCCGCGTCGAATATCCACGCCGAATCCGTGTCGAGTCCGCATCGAGCCCGCGTCGGGCACAAGAGAAAGACACCAGCTCGGGGGGCAGGCGAGGTCCGCCGAGAATGCAGCGCAACGTTCGAGCCCCGGAGGGGGGTGGCCCTCACGGGCCGAGGCGTCTCGAGGAGGGCCCTGCCCAGAGGGCGGGGTCGAGGACCAGGGGCCGCGATCCGTTCACCACAGCGTCGCTGTCTCTCTCTCTCTCTCTCTCTCTCTCTCTCTCTCTGCTATCGCTTTCCGCACTGCTCTTCCCTCCCCCCACCCTCCCCCCGCCCTCCCTTCCCTGGCCGCTGCTTTGCCGTCCACCCTCGCGCTGCACTGGCATGCCTGTGTGTTGTAGAATCCGAGGCCCGGCGAGGCACGCGCCCTTGTTTGGTTGAGCCCTACGTCTTTTACGGTCGCATGTGTTTTCACACAGTTGGCCAATGCGCCGTGTAGGCGCGGCTTCTTTCGTTCGTTCGTGGGGGTTCAGCCGACTGCACTTACTGCGGAGTGCGACAGCTGAGATCGACAGAGCATCATGTTGGGAACTCGCTCCTCAAAAAATCGTGAAGTCCCATTCGAGGCGTCCCCCTCACGGGGGCGTGACCCCTTGTGGACAGCGTGCCCAGGAGGTATGCAGCGTTCGCCACTCGCAGGTGGCACGGAACGCTCGGGAGGCTTGCGGCAGAAAGCGCAGCGCCGCTGTCTGCGCAAGGCATGGCGAGAAGAGAGATCCAGGACAGGTCGGCGCCCACGCGCGCAAGGAGACGGAAAAAAGAAGGCGGCAGTACAAGATTGGCCAGCACCGAAAACATGTTCCCCTACCTCCTGGACCCCCTCCATCAATCATATCAATCCACGCCCTCATGCCCTCTCCCATTACCTTCAACTTCTTCTGTCTGGAGCGCCCATCCTTTCTAGTCTCTCCCCCCAACTGACTTTGTCTGGAGCGCCTTTCGTCTCTGGCCTGCATGATCTTGATCACCTTAGGCCCAAAGCAGAGCAACGTCGCCGCAATGTCTCGCAATCGGTCGCCCATAATATTGGCAGCCGGACCATAAGATCCCCCTGTGACATGCGGCTGAACAGAATTTCAAGCTGCTTGAGAAGCACCCCCCCACGAACACCAACGCCCCAGAGGTCCGTTCTTCGAGGAGATGCCAACAAACCATCTCACCCGATCCTGGCGATCGATTGTATACGCGGTTCCGGCTTGGCCAAAGAGGCATACATATAACGCCGATCCTGGGCCCAGACATACGATGTCCGGATTTAGCAAATAAAGAGATCCCCGGCAGACCCAACCCCAGACCCCCTCCCCGGGTTCCGTTCTTCGTCCCGACTCGTCTTTGGACAGCCCTGGGGCCCAGCTCCCGCCGTGATTTCTCCGCGACGCGAGCAGGTCTGGGGCCTTCCAGCCACTCCACCCCCCACCGCGCGCGCAGAAGACCACCCCCCACGCGATCCACCCCGCGCGCTTCATCGGAGCAACTCCGAAGCTGCTCCTCGAGGGGCGCCCCCCTGTGCGATTCCACCCTCTGGAGATGGGGAAACCAGAAGGTATCGCTGCCACTACCCCCCGGACCTCTCCCGGGGTGCGTTCTGACCACGATTTCGAGGCGAATCCAGCGGTGGCGACGAGGACATCCCAGGAGGCCCAAGCAGGGGAGAACGAGGGAAGGGCAGAGGCATGGGGTGCCTGTGCCTCCTCTGGGGAGGGCCTGCCCCTGAGTAGGAAAGGCGAGGCGGGGCGAGGCGAGTCCAGGCACACCGACGATGCCCGAGTCGGCGGTGCGCGCAGAGGGGGTTCCGCGGCGCGAACCCGGCTCTCGCCCCGGCCGTCCGCTGCACACTGCAGCCAACAACCGCCTGGCAGGAAGGCAGGGGGCTCCTTCGGAGGAAGAGAAAACGCCGTAAACATAAACTTTGGGCGCTCCGCGCGGATTTCTCGGATCAGGGCTGGACCCCCTGGGGCGGCGCCGGAGGCGCCGCCTGGAGGGGCCCAGCGCGGATCCAAGAAATCCGCGCGGAGCGCCAACAGTTTATCTTTATGGCGTTTTTTCGTCGTCGATTATTGGAATACCTCCCTGCTTCTGAGAGGCCATCTCGGAAGCCTCTGCCTCCTCCGAAGAAGGCTCATACCCTCTTGCAAGGCCGCCCCCCCTCACGTCACCAGCCTCAGTACGCGCCACCAAGGAGGAGCAGCAGGAGGAGGCGGCGCCAGTGCTATTCAACTCGGTAGCCTACTGCTCGCGTGATGGATTATCCCCGTCCTCGTCAGAAAGGTCATCCTCACCAGGAAGACCAGCCACACGCTTGAGCTGTTCACGCCAGGCACCCTTGGCGCTCTTGGCAAGCTTGCGCCAGTGTCTCATCGTCAGATACAGGTTCGTTGCTCACGCTTGGTAGAGTCACACATGACGGCATGTGGCCACACGTCAGAACGCAAACCTAGGACCAGAATCCGAGCATACGATGCGAACTGAAGGCGTCCAGAGAACCTCAAACCGGGAGGTCGAGGAGGTCGAGGAGGAGGAGGAGGAGGAGGAGGAGGAGGAGGAGGGCCCAGCCAGCACGTCTGCGCTGCGGTGACGACCGGGAGAGCGCGGGGGCGCCCCACGTCGCCACGCCCTGGGCCCGCGCCAGTGCGCGGCTTTCCCATACCAAGCAGTGGAGCGGGAATGTATCAATACTCACGCGCAGCCATGACTTCTTCCTGCGTTAGCTCGGGCAGCACTCTGGGTGGCGCTGCCTGTATCCTTGTATCCTCCTGTCCAAGGCGTACCTTTTCCTGCACATCCACTTCGGCACAGCCTGTTCCCCGGGCCCCGCCCACTCCGGCCGCCTGAGGCCCCGCCTTCCTGTGCCCTGTCTCCCTAATTAAAGCTGTGCGTAGCCCGCCTAGCTTTTAGCGGAAGAGGTTCGCTCTCGCCCCGCAGATCAAAAACTGTATCCTTGTATCCTCGCTGCCTTAGCGGGTTCCCGCCTCACGCCGACGGATGCCGCACCCATACCAGGCAGGGGAGCTGGCCGGAGCTCCGCCGAGGCACCCCTGGCTGCTCGGCACCTGCAAGGCGGGCCCTGCGGCACGGGGGGGGGGGGGCCGTGGGCGAGGAGGCCTCCAGCGGTGCAGGCTCAGCCCGGAGGCCCTCCTCCCTTGTCGTGGAAGGCGGAGCGACTCCTGCCATCCTTCCATCGGGTCGACCCAAAGGGGGTCCAGCGACAAAGGGGGTGGTGCAATAGATCTGGTGCAAGAGATTTGTGGGGTTGCAGTACATGTGGGGCGTGCGATACATCCCGGGGCGCAGGTGTCCTGCTGGATGTTCGCGTGCAATCCGTTACTTGCAATACAATGCAATACAAGTCTCCAGCGCAGTACATTTGCAATACAATTGCCCCAAATATATTGCACCACCCCACTTCAGCTGGACCCCCTTTATGGGTGTGCTCGATTCAACTCGCGCTAAAACAACAATGATCTGCTCCAAATTCCCGTGGAGATTTCTGGATTCTTTGGGTGCGCCTGGATTTACCAGCATTCACCTGGATGTGCATCGATGTGTCTGCACATACCTTGATTTATCCGGCTTCGTCCCCACAAGTCGATTCGCGAAAAGTCGTCAAGCCCTTAGGCAGCTTGTCTCATCGTGGCCCTGTCCCTCAGGACACCCCATCGTCTAGCCGCAAAGCTGGCGCGGGGTGTCTCCACACCCCACCCCACCGTTCAGACCGGGTGCCTCGGACCTCCCCCTCTGGCGCAAGGAAGAGGAGCCCCTCCTCCTCCTCCTCCTCCTCCTCCTCCTCCTCCTCCTCCTCTTCCTCCTCCTCCTCCTCCTGGACTGAGCCATCGCTGGAGCTGCAAATCGTTGTGATCGCACGGTCCACAGACTCCTAAGCCGATCGCTGAAGCGAGGTCTCCCCCCTCGGCGTAGTCCATGACCAT